TCTTGTTGTCCATGTTGAGATGCTGCAGCTCCCTTGGTGGTGATGTGACTAGACTTGGCATGACAGTAATGCTTTTTACATGTGAGTCTTTGTGTCGGGCTGCTCTGAGAGCGTTGTGAGACTGCCACTTTGTCTGTATGATGAATCCGCTCAGTGTCAACTATATATGCACAGCAGAAGCCTGAAATGAGGTTGGCGCATAGCGTCACAACATCATTCTGAACTAACCACAGAAAAAGAGGAAGTTGGGGGTGACGCAAACATGCACAGACTCCAACTAAAGCACTCTGTATGTACTGTACTTAGACCTTCATCGTTACTCCTTTGTAAAAAAAGGTCTGGGGATGCAAATGGGGCAGTGGAAAATTCAGCAGCAGATAGGCAAATGCTTTAGTCTCTGTTCCAGTTTGCCTCAAGAACCAATACCACTGTTTTAGGTTTTGGAAACATGCTGAGGTCATTTTAGCACTCACAGTAAAATTTTACTAAAACTGGCAATCCTCTTAAGCTTGTGGATCACAAAACATGTTCATTCGACTATCATGGGTCAAACAACCCAAACAGCTAATGACTGATTGCATCTTTGCAGTAAAGAAGCAGTAGCATCCTGACAATAGCACATTTTCCTCTCATGACATCATGTGTACTTTAAAGAGATGTACAATGTAAATCCAAAGAAGACATAAAAAAGTCTTCCTTTTACAAAGGAAAAGTTGAACTCATAAGCAATAAAATGTATCCACACTTAATTCAATACCCTAAGCTGTTTGGCTGCTACAGCCTTACCTGGCCAAGTATAACCACTAGCTTTTGGTTGCTAAATGTGTAGTTAACTAACATATAGCAATAGATCAACATTTTTTAATTTCAGGCAATATGCTTATTTGCGTTCTTGTGGAGAGTTGGAAGAGGAGATAGATAACACTGCTAATTATGAAGCTACAGCCAGCAGCCGATTAGCTTAGCTTGGCATAAAGACTGGAAGCAGGGGTAAACAGTTCGACAGCTTGACTGTCCAAAGGTATCAAAATCTGTATGCCAATACCTCTTCTCATCTAACTCTCGACAAGAAAGGGAATAAGCATTTTTTACAAGAAAAAAAAAGTTAACTTGCTAACATTAGCAATGTGAATAAGTGCATTTGTCAAATGAATTATTCCTTTAGCTAGATATTGCTCTATGATCGACATTACTGAACCAGTTACTGACTTAAGAATCTTTTCCTCTTTTGCTACTGTTAAACTATGTTTTATCATACTATCATCCTTTAATTCTCACTTGTGGCAGCTGTTTGAAGATGGTCTCACCTTATGGTACAATCAAATTAAACTCAGTGTGTTGTTTGGTTTCATAAATATTTCAGCTTCTGTCATTGAACATGTCTAAAAATGAGAAATTGTCGATTTCTCCAGTTAACACATCTAAATGTAATTTATTCCTTGGTGTTGTCATAGGACATCTAGCAAGTAATTCTTACATGACTGACATGAATTTAATGATGTCGTTGTTTCCATTTTATAGCTTCTTACCATTGTTTGATCTTTGACAATGGAGGCAGAAAGGAAATAGCTACAGGGGGGAAACAGAGAGGGGGATGACATGAAATAAGAGTCGCCCACCGGAACCAAATCAGGGACACTGTGGTTATGTGGTATGTGACTTAGACAACTATGCCACCCCAGTGTTTCCATTTTAGATGGAACTGAAGCTTGTAGACACAGAACTTATAAGGCCACCTCTATGTCATATAGACCAAATAAGATATCAGTGGCTTAAAGCTCTAGCATAATATCAGGAAATCTTTATCGAAACAATTTTTATTGTAGATATTAAAAGATCTAGATCTAACTTATTTGTCAACATCAGTGAGTGAAATTACTAACACTTCCTCAGTGTTGTGAGCCGTCTCATTGGAGCTTCGCTTCGTCCCACAGTAAAGTAAGTAACTTCCTGCTTCTATGATGACAGGAAGCTGTGACAAAACAAAAGCTTTCACCCATCATCTGGACTTTCCTCTGGACTTTTAAAGAGTTTTCAAAAGAGAATGTGATCATTCCTTTAGTTCATTGCCAAAGATGACAACACTGATCTGATCTGAATGGAAACTGTTGAGATCTAGGTCTGTTTTTTATGACTAAACAAAACTTTATGCAAAAGAAACCTTTCAGTCAGGTTTAACAGGTTGTCACAGTCCTCAAGCTGTCCTTAATAATCTGCTTTTATCATGTAAAAGTTGACAACCTCCAAATTATTGTGAATTAAAGCCATTAGAATTTCCAACACTTGCCCTATTGGACATTTAAGAAATACTGTACACTGTGGCAGTCAGCAATGGATACTATTTTCATCACTGAATGTCTGAAAAGCTCATCAATTATGCAAGTTCCTGATCCTCATACATGATGTAGAATGCATAGAAACTCTCATATTTACAATCTGTTATCCATTCTTGTTGAAATATGGAGTTGTTTATAATAGCTTCATTGGCCCTGGAGAGGGATCAAAACTGCTTCTGTCAGCTTATGAACATTTCAAAATGAGTGCACATACCTGCGAAAAAACCTGGAAACATGCTTTCCTTACACCTTGTGTGGACTAATGTACTGTAATTCTCTCTACTCAGACAATGGTAAATGTTCCACAGTTAGTCGAAAATACAGTTGTTGGGTTGAGATTGCTCTAACTTTTGCATCCATTAGTAGTTACCTGCAATTCTTAGGATCAATTTGAAGCTTTTAGTGTACAATTTTCAAGAAGATATTGCCATTGCCACCCTTACACTCAAAACTGCAAAAACCCACCTGTTGAGATTAACCCTGAGACATCTGTTAAACTCAGATTCAAGGTGAGCACAGAAAAACTTTCCCCTTTAGCACATTAATTTGAAAACAGCCTTCCAATGTCAAACTCTGCACATACATCATTCTGCACTGTGAAGCTCAACCATCTAAGAGAAAGAACAACAAGCACCACATATTTTCTGATTTGAGTTGGACATTAAGTTTCTTTTTTTCTTTATTTCCACAGGATTTTAACACTTTTTCTTTTCATTTTGCAACCTTTCATTTTACTTTATCCTGATTTATTTGATCTACTGGCATTTTATTTCAGTGCCATCCTGCTTTTCTGCCTGAATCTGCCATTGTATTGTTGAACACCATCAGAACCTCAAGGTCTCAAGTTCAATGTGTTCATGAATGTAAACAACTTTTGCAAGAAATGTACAGAACATGCAAGTAGGAGTAAATGTATGTCCCAAAATGGAAGGGCCCTTTAAAGGTACAATGTGTAGAATTTGGCCAACATTTTAGTTTAAACCATTAGAAAAATGAACGTATATTATCAACTGAATGTGAAGAAGTAACCGTTCTGATATCATGTCAAAGACATCTATGTTTTGTGTTGAAATACCACTTGTGCTGGTTAGTGTCACAGATACATGTAATGACATAAAATGTAGGCTACATAACCTTAAAACATACCTAAATAAAGTGTTTAAATGAACTTATTGAACCACTGGTTAGTACTGTTTTGTCACATGCTTTACAGGAAATGTTTTGTGTTAGAACGCAGCTGTTGATGGCTTGCTGTGGTGACATCAGCTCTTATCTCAGACAATTTCTTTATCGGTTGCAACACCCGTCTGTGAGTTTCCTCCATCAACTGTTGTCAGTCTGAGAATTATAACCTTGTGCAGTTTCTTTCATTTTTATGTCTTCTTCACTTCCTGCAAGCAATATGTACTGCACTTATGGTGGGGTAGACGTTGCTATGCATCATAACCACGGTTGCAGATTAAACATGTGGTTTGTCAAAAGCCTTTTTTTTATTGCAGTACCCAATGCGCTTAACCCTTCTGCCACAAAGGGGTGAGTACAACCAGAGTTGTCTAAACTAGAGGAAGTTGTGGTGACCTATCTGCACAACACAGAATGTTGTACAACACCTCTTAAAATAAATCCCCCATACAAGTCCACCTACACAAACAGAACTAAATGTTCGTCTAACACCCTGCAGTCACATGGAGAAACCAACTACTTCCACTTTCCAAACACAAAAAACACATCACACAATGAAAATGTTAAAGTGCAAAAGGGAACAGTGACTGTAGGATTTTATGCTCTATGTCCGTTTAATTTAAATCCTTATTTGTGGATCTGAACAGTCTGAAAGTTGGTTGCCTTGGAACCCTGCTTTATTGTGCTCTTTTGAATTTGCATGCTTTTTACATAGATGATAATGTAAGTTTCATCATGTCCTAACTCGAAATAACAAACAAGAAAAAAACTGATGAAATGGCAAATACTATCTACTACTGTATAGAACCACCTAAAACTCTGCATGACACAACCTGCAGTAATCTTCCTTTGAGGGGAGATTTATATTACCTTAGATTCCCATCACATCTAATTCAAAGTGGTGATTTGAATCCTCTATCTGACTTTTTCATGATGAATGAACTCGCCTGGCAACATGAAACCAACTGAATTGCCACCAGAGGTGCACCCCCTGTGACTAACATTTCAGACAAATTTAACTCCAGTCAGAGTCGGTTCATACAGTTCCTCTTCACGTTATGCTCAAACTTGTACAAGCTTATTCTGACTGCAGCTGAGATGTTGCAGACAAAGTGAGAGGAAGTGTGAACCACCTTTTCCCTTTTTAGTCTTGGTTACTTCTGTCTTCTTGTTAACTGAATGATGTTGCTTGAAGGACTTTGTTGCCATCTAGTGTATTTTACCTATGATAATATTACAGTGTACAGGCAAGTCTTCTTTGACAACAAACAAATGTGATTTGCATTACATTCAAAAGGACCACACCCAAATGTCATTAGGTAGATATATTTAGTTAGTTTGTTTGATAGAAAACATAAAACCAAGACAGATGTTTAACAAGACACTCACATATTTATTTTCACATGAAAGTTGAATTTGTCAGAGCAAATTAGGATTTATATTTGCATGATCAATTAGATAAAAGTGTTGATAATACTTTACAATAAAGGAATTCTTTTTATTATTAACCTCATAGGGTGAAGGAGAGAAAATAGTTAATCATAGAAGAATTATGTGCACAGTCTCTTTTTACCTTAACATAATTAAAGAGATAAAGCATAATACAAGCCATATATTTTCTTTAGCTGTCTACTGAATTACACAGGCTGAGAAAAGCTATTTCTGCTACACTCAGTATCTGGACTGTATGGCATGAACCCGTGCTGAAATCAAAGAGTGCAACAACAGATCTGAGTTGGAGAGAAGAGTTTGCGAGCCTCCGTCTGAGAGGCTGTCAGTTTTGACAGTCACCTTGAATGTGTTCTCCTCAGGAGTCCCTGATACACGTCAGATTTTAGGAACCGCGGGTAGCAATCCCTGGCCATCAGACTGTAGATGAGCTTCTGCGCTGTATCAAACGAAGTCAGGGTCGGCTGGGAGATGTTCTTTGTTATGTTTTCTCTAGTACCGCAATCTATGTTGATCTGGAATCAAACAACATTGCCCAGGGGCGTCTTGAAGGAAGTCTTTTCATCATTTTTACTATAATGTTCTGGGGTGTAAATTTCTACAGTTTTACAACCATAAAGCACACAAATACACAGCTTTATAGCAATAACTATATCACCATTATCCTACTAAATTCAGATCACAATCAATGACCCTCTTGGTTCATATTTGCATTTTTGCAATTTAAAAAAAATCCTGTCTGGTTTTCAGCTTGCAGTCGTTTACCTGTTTGGGCGCTTCTGTTTGGACAAACTCTGAGTAGATCCTGTTCGCAGAGGAGATCATCTCTGGGACCGTCTTGATTTTTTTGTACTCCTCACAGGCGAGCCAAAACAGTATGTTCTCCTCACTGTACTCGGACTTCAGGAATTCCCGGAAAGCTATCTGTCCAGCTGGAAATCACAAATCACAGTAAGCAGGCAGCAAGTGTATACGAAATCCAATATATGTACAATCGGAAAAAGACTCTCACCTTTACAACTGAGGACTTTGTCCACAGACTCACTCCAAGTCTCAACATCCTCCAGTGGATCTTTGGGAAAGCAACACAATCTACCCTTGAAAAGAGCATCAAGATCTATCACTAGCCAAGTTATCTGTGAACTCCACAGCACATACCACCTGAAAACCACACTGGCAGGCCAAATTATTAATCATTTATAGTGAGTAATAAGATGCCTCCTAAACATTCAGTTTAATGCCTTGAGCCTGACAGCAACCTCCCATTACTACAAGCTCCTTCAGAAATAAAGGCACATTGCAAGGTATGACTTACAGTGAGTGAAAACCTCCTTGGTATTTTCCACATGGCTGCCGTAAGCTGTTGCCTGCTGAAAATGGTAAAGGCCCAATAATCAAATATGCAGTAACTCACTTTATCGCCATCTCCTCGTCCTCTACGAAGGGAGACAGAGATAAGATCCTGCCAGACTGAAGATGGGGTTGTGATTGTTTGGAAATGAGGGAGTCAAGTGACTGAACAAATCTAAATGACCCCCCCCTAAGATGAATGGAACTTATGGAAATCTGTATGCAAAGTTGTTGTTGGGAGAGAAAGGGCATCCTTCCATGTCTGTCACACCTCGAGGAGAAGAGAGCTCGGCCGTGATTTGAGCTGACTGCACCTGTTGTCCAACACAGTGACCATCACTGAATGTGACAATATGAGTGTGGCAGGATGGTGAAAGGTGAAAACTTTATGTTTTCATCACTCATTAAGAACTATAATCCAGTTCTTTAGTATAATATAGTAGTTATATAATAAGGAATATGATAACATAATGGCCTGCTGTGGTCGAGCACTATATGTCAAAGAATAAGATTTAACTAAAGCAATGAGCAATGGTTCGGAAGTACCAGGAAAGATCCTGACCATAAACAAATAGCCATAAACAAATTCATTAAGGAAAAGGCCCATCATCCTGCCATTTGCTTATCAGCAGGGTTTCTGAAAAAGCATAAACAAGCACTAATTTATTAATATGCCTCATACGACACCTTTAGTTGATGTAAGTGATGTGGACAGACATTTTGCTTGTTTGTAGATTGATTAAGGTCTGCTACAAATCTGCACCGACTTTTGAAAACAGAAAAGTAAAGTCCTGAAAAATCACAATAGCAACACTATTAAATAAATTAGGTTTTCATTATTGAATGACGTAGTTTGGCTGACATGAAGAGCCCACGTTTGCTTGATTTTCAAGCACTTCTTTTTTATAAAGCGCCAAGTCAGATATGCTTTCATACATGCATTTACGTGGAATTAGTCATAGTGTTGTTTCAAGCTAAATGCACTAGCATGCTCGCAATGACAATGTCAATGTGTTTAGCAGGTATAAAGTTAACAGGGTTCACCATTTTAGTCTGGTGTTAGCTTGCTTATATTTGGTAGACAAAACACAAGGTACAGCTGAAGATGATGGGATTGGAATTAGTACAAAATTTTAATTTTGACCTGGTGATTTGATACATGAAATATTAAGAGGTCACATAGGTTAATACAATTCATTCTGGGGCAACATGGATGTCTGCATCAAATTTCATACCAATTCATTCACTGAAAATGATAAAAGTCAACCTCATAGTGGCGCTAGAGGAAAAAGTCAGGAGATCACCAAAGTGAGCAGGATATATCGTCTTAGAATCATCAATGTTTGTAAAACATTTTGTGTCAATCCATCATATCATGACATCATCCATTTCAAGCAGATGTTGAGTTAAATGTCTCAGTTTGCATGAAAACTTTGACCTGTTGGTGGCAGTAGAGGAAAAGTCAGAGGATCTCTAAAGGGTTCATCCTCTGGGGACATGAATATCTTTAGTAATAGTTGTCAAGACGTCACAAAAAATGGCAACCTACAATTGGCGCTACAGGAAAAGTCAGCAAATTGTCATGGAGCCATGAATTTTCGAAAAAGAACTGTATGTCAATCAATCCAGTATTTGCTGAAATATTTCAGTCAAAGTGGTGGACCGACCTTTACCGTCATTGAGCCATAATGCTAGCAAGAAATCAGGTAAAGAATTCAGAAAAACTACCACTGCAACTTAATCAGCAGTAGTATTCACAGTATATGTCTACTGTGTATTTTCATCAGTAGATGTTTGATTTAGGTGGTTTAGACCTTACTAAAATACTTTATTAAGATAAAACAGAATGTGTGAAAGATTTCCACTGCAAAGCAGCAGAGAATAGCATTGCACAGTACCATGATCATTAGCTTTATGTGACTGTCCTCAGCTCCTTTGGGTCTGTTGGTTGTATACATGTCATGCCATACAGTGAATCATAATAAATGTATGGCCAGTGCATTTTATCCCGCCCTGACCTTCCTGACCACTGGTGGGATTTCATGGGCACAAAAACAAACCAAGAATGTAAATCACAGCAGGTGATGGAAAACACCCGGGCTGCCCCTATTTGCATGTGTGTAGACTCACCAGGTCAAGGAATTTGTTTTTCAAAAAAGGCACTGCCAGGGAAGATATGAGCACTATAGTGAGGTGTGTTGTCTTTGTGTGTTCACTGCAGAGTATCCAACATGTTTTGTCTTGTTGTGATTTGGCCTTTCATGTTCTTAAATCAGAAGTCATTCTGACTGGTCAGTGTTACCATCGAAGGACAAGCTGGATTCCTCTGAACAACCCTGAAAATTATTTGTTTTCACACTCACAAATCAATGTGCTGTGTCTCACCAGTGATGCAGCTATGCACTTCCACTGTGGTTTCATACCAAGTTGCAATTTGTTTCATCTTACACAGGGTGGCACTCAAGTCCTCTCCAGCCCACCATCTTTATGACAGCATTGAATTTGTACTTCTCTTTGCTGTTGGTCCTGCTTGCTTCATTCATTCATACAGGGTTTTGACCCTTCTCCTGAAGCTGCTCAAGACCCAGACTGCAGGGTGGGGGTTAATGTAAGCTGCAGATGTAACCCGAAAAACCTATTTAAACTACATTTCGAACCCCTGAAAGTAATTCAGTAAGCATGCATTTGACTTAATTAGAAAGTGTCTCAATGCGTATCATTAGAACAGTGAGCAGCAGGGATCCTGAAGTGACCTTCCTTTCTTTTTTAACCTGCTTTCACCCTTTCAGCATGGCCGTTAAATAGTATTTCAAACCAAATTAAAAATGAAAGAAAAAGTGTAGGCATCTCCTCAACCTTGTTGGAAAACACAAGGAGAATCAATTTCAGAAATCTGCTGCATTTTATATTACCTCTTCACAAACTTTCTTTCTCGTTCCAGTGCAGCTTACATACAGCACATTTTCGTCACAGAATTGGTTTCAATGATATTAAAACCTAGGCCTTTAACCGGCAGCGATTGTTCTTAAGAGTTGACTGCCTCCGCAAACTTGCCACCTATTCATTGGTGAACATGTAGCCACTTTTAGTATAGAGGAAAGTTGTCCATCAGGCATTCAACTGTATCTTTTTTTTCTCCACATAAACAGGTGCCTCTCAATATGCTCCCAACACTTCAGTTGAAGTGTGGTGTTTAGAAAAGAAAGTCTCACCTTGAGAATTTCAAACTGAACACGACCTTCTGTTTTCAGTCACACTGAAATTTATTTAGGTCTGTCAATATCGTTGTAGGCCAAGAGTGTCAGGTGCAAACGGATTTGCAAGGAGAAAATTGCACAACTCAATATCTGAGCCTGGGAGTCAGGAAATCTATTACTAAATTTGGCTCACTTAAAGTTAGATAAAAGATTCTGAGATGGGACAAACTGGCTTTTAAAATGGGAACATGTGGTGTAAAAGTTTGGATACCAGAGCCCAAGTGTGCAAAACTACTGACAGACTTTGGCTTAGATTGAGGAATCTTTTAAAAAGAAACCCATTTATTTGAGAAAATCTCCCTAAAACTTCACTATTAGACACCTTACAATAAATCTTTTTGATTTAAACTCCTCTTATTCTGGCGTTCATCTAGTTTTATAAGCCTCATATCTCCAGGCAAACTGCTTTTTTACTCTTTGTTTCCCTTCAGAGGTTCTACAATACATCTTTAACTTGTGGATGCTTTCAGAGGCTTTTAGCGCAGACTGAGTCACAAATTTAAATACCAATGGGAAAAAACAAGAAATCTGCCAGCCAATTCTTAGTGGCCAACTAATCTTAAGCTATGAATTTGGCAGGCCGGCTGAGCTCTTACCTTTGTTAACACATCATTACACTTTCCCTCTCTTCTCCGACTATTTGTGTGAGAAGACAGCAGGAACTGCTGTATATGCATGCCGTTGCCGTCTAGATGCATGCATAATTAATGTAAACTGTGAGGTATTCCATGCAGCTTTTTGTAAAATGACAGTAACTTGGGGTAAGATGGACTTTATCCCTCTGGGGATAATAGAAACCCTGACATCTGTAAATGAACTAATCCAGCTCTTATATAGAGTTACATGTATGTACTGATATCTATTTTTTATGCCATAGTGTTTGGGACAAACTCAGTGGGATCCATTTGGAATTAATATGAATTTGTCTTTTACTCAGAAGCATAGCTTGTGCATACATATACAGTAACATGAATAATTCTGTGTTTGAGTGGTGGGAGTTGATAAGGTCTATTAATTTTTCAGTGATTTAGAATAGAGAGCTACACACAATCACAATTTTCCCCACTAGTGTAATATGCACACATTATGGTTCCATTTGTCACATTTAGACGTGGTCATTCAAACTAATTAATGACACTAAAGGCCATATTAAAACTTCTTTTATAAGAAAGTGTTTATTTGAGTTACTCCACGTATTATAGTATATACATTTTACAACAGCAAGGCAACACATGTGATCTTAGTAATACATAAGTTATGTTAGATGGTAGCAAATTGAAAAACAGCAATCATAATTAGTATTCAAATAAGATATTTGCATCTGTGTGTGTAATTGGGATGCATTTTATTAACAGAAATGAGAGCTATATCCCTCATTAAAAGATTTCAGTGCTTTGCAGTCACAGTGGCTACAGGCTTTCGCTGTAAGTTAGTCTGGATGGGGTTGGACAGAGGCAGGGATAAAATCCTGAATCCATTTTAATGAGATACGGTCAAATTAGCTTGTACGCCATATCAACTGTATTAATGTTGTATAAGGTGCTATTGTTGGATTGGAAGACAAAGCACTTGAAGCATAATGTGTCTGAAGTCAGGAGAGTAGCCTCAGTGTGGCTGTCTGCACGGCTGGCTGAATACTGTCAGTAGCATTAAGGCACTTCAGCTGAGATTCTGTCCCCAACCAACCCATTGTCATTCAAGTTTCGCAAGATTTGAGAAAATATAAAAACACCAATTAAGGTTCAAACCCACAAGCAGTGCAGTGCCTCTTGTTCCAAAAGTCTTGCAGAATACTCTGGTTTTATACCATGGCCACAG